GATTCGAAAGAAAACAACCAATGAAGGAAAAAACTCGAGAGAAGAAGATTGATGTCAAAACCATCTCTCGAGGAAAAATTCTTGAAAGAGAAACACCTCTCGAAAAAATTAAACTTGAGAAAAATCTCTAGAGACAAAATCATCTCTCGATAAAAAATCATCTCTCGAGAAAAAAAGACTTGAGAGAAAACTACCTCTCGAGAAAAATAGGAAAATGCCCATTGTGGAGAAACGAATAAAAATATAAAGTAGAACTATCAAAAGTAAACGAATGTGTATACAATTTAATGTATTTTAATTTAGGGAAGAGTCATAAAAAAACAAATGAAAATTTAGAAAAATGCCAAACTCCAGAAAAAAAGACTCGAAAGAAAAAAACTCGGGATTAAAAATAACTTCTCGAGGAAAAAACCCGAGAAAAAACCACCTCTCGAGGAAAAAACTCGAGAGAAAAAAGATACTACTCAAAATTACCTCTAGAAGAAAAGTACTCGAGAAAAGCCTCTCGACAAAATTTAATTCAAGGAAAAACCATCTCTCGAGAAAAAAGACCGAAGAGGAAATCATATTTCGAGGAAAAACTCGAGAGAAGAAGATTTAAGTCAAAACCACCTCTCGAAGAAAAAATACTCGTAAGAGAAAAACCTCGAGAAAATCAAACTCGAGAAAAAACCATCTCTCGAGAAAACCACTTCTCGAGGAAAAAAACTCGAGAGAAGAAGATTCAAGTCAAAACCATCTCTCGAGGAAAAATTCTTGAAAGAGAAACCTCCCGAAAAAATTAAACTCGAGAAAAAAGCATCTCTCGAGAAAACCACTTCTCGAGGAAAAAAACTCGAGAGAAGAAGATTCAAGTCAAAACCATCTCTCGAGGAAAAATTCTTGAAAGAGAAACACCTCTCGAGAAAATTAAACTCGAGGAAAAACCATCTCTCGAGAAAAAAGACTGGAGAGAAGACCACTTCTCAAGGAATAAACTCGAGAGAAGAAGATTCAAATCAAAACCACCACCTCTCGAGAAAATTAAATTGGAGAAAAAACCATCTCTCTAGAAAATAGACTCGAGAGAAAACAACCTCTGGAGGAAAAAGACTCGAGAGAAAAAGATTCAAGTTAAAACCACTTATCGAAAAAAAAATACTCGAAAGAGAAAAACTTCTCAAGAAAATGTATCTCTAGAAAAAACCATCTCTCGAGAAAATAGACTCGAGAGAAAAAGATTAAAGTTAAAACCACTTATCGAAGAAAAAATACTCGAAAGAGAAAAACTTCTCAAGAAAATGTATCTCTAAAAAAAACAGATGTTCCGAGAGATCTCGAGAAAATTAAACTCGAGAAAAAACCATCTCTCGAGAAAAAGACTGGAGAGAAAACCACTTCTCTCGAGGAAAAAAACTCGAGAGAAGAAGATTCACGTCAAAACTACCTTGTTGGGGTTGAACCCTTTAATAATGTGTTAGGCGCCGCTCCTCCTCAAAAAACCCTAGTTACTAAGAAATTGACATTATTATTGATTAGATTGTCAGACTCTAAAATTGTATTTTTTTCAAGAAAAAATACTAGAAAGAGAAACACCTCCCGAGAAAATTAGACTCGAGAAAAAACCATCTCTCGAGAAAAAAGTCTGGAGAGAGTTTAGCCTCTGGAGTATAAAAGACTTGAGAGGAAAAAACCACTAAAGAGGAAATCACCTCTTGAGGAAAAAAGACAAAAATTTGAAAAAATGCCCGAAAACAGAATAAAATTTTAATTAACATCAATTTAGAATGAAATATAATTTTAATTTAAGGAAGAGTCTTAGAAGCCAAGTGAAAATTAAGAAAAATATCGATTAATATAAAAATGAATAGAATTGAAAGTAGAATAAAATATTTATAACCATTATTGAGAGGTTCTTCAAATAAATATAAATTTGAATTTAAAGTAGATATATTACATGTATAGCACTTATTCAGTTTTAAAACAAAATAATTAAAATGCAGTAATCAAAAAAAGAATCAAGATCGATTTTGAAAATTTTTATACTCGATATACGTATATAATTTAAAAAGATATTAAAGAGTAGGGGTCTCAAATGATACCCTTGCGACACACTTGAAATTACTGAAATATTTTTAATTTCTAACTCATTTATCATAACATGCTGTAATACTATCAATCAACTATGAAATAATAAAATCAAAGAAATTTCTTAGTTTAGTAATAAAGGTAAAGTGGTTAACCTTGTCAAATGCTTTCAAAAAATCGGTGAACACAACTTGGATAATCTCTTTCCATACTTTCAAGTATTTCTTGAATAGCACAAGATTATAGTCTATTTTTATGGATGAGAGTAATAAAACAGCATTTCTAATGCAAAACTTAGTACGGTCATTTTAAATATTTTTACAGAATAATCTAAATATTTCCTAAAATTGTAATAAATGTACCTGAGCTATTACAAGTTTTGGGTCTTTTATTGGTCCTTTATAAACATAAGCTGTACAGAACAATAGGAAAAGGTTTGGACAGGCCAAAAGCCCTGTGTATTAAAGATTACATAGCCGTATCTTAAGATTATTTTCAATAAGTACCTATTTGCCAATTTTGTTTGATTTTAATTTCAAGAATTTCTTACAGTAATCGAATTATAAGTAGATAAATACCTTCCCAACAAATTTCACCGAAAATGCGATTATAGGTTTTTCATTTAGTAAGGAGGTCCAAATTGTGTATTCTTGACAGTTTACTAAATGTCGTTTAGTTGCAACTTGCAACTTACAGAGTTGTTAAAGAAGAGAAATGTGGCGAGTTTCAAACAGCACGTAAAGCTCCAGGAAAACCAAAATTTCAATTAGAAAATCTTTTGAAAGAAAGACTTCGAAGGAAAGTGCATGCGTTCTTCTTTAGAAAAGAATTTCCGATAGTAGACAAAGTTCTTGCCACGGTTCGAGATGATAAGGATTACCCTGAAATGAGTCGAAGCACACTATGGAAACTTTTAAAAGAAATAGGTTTTCTATGGAAAAAGCATTCCAGGGTCTATTTTAATAGAAAGAAGCGATATAGTAGTATGGAGAAGAAATTACCTAAGGACTATAAAAGAAATGAGAAACCAAAGAAGAAATATATTTTATTTAGATGAAACATGGATCAACGAGGGACATATACCAAATAAATTTTTGCAAGAAGAAACTGTTACAAGTCGAAGACAGGCTTTTTTAAATAATTTATCTACTGGTTTAAATCCACCATCAGGAAAGGGGCGCAGACTAATAATAGTACACATCGGTAGTTCAAACGGTTTTGTTAAAGGTGGTTTATTGACTTTTAAATCTACTCGTACCGGTGACTACCATGAGGACATGAATGCTGATGTCTTTAAAGAGTGGTTCGAACAAATTATAGATCTTTTTCCTCAGAACTGTATAATAGTAATGGATAATGCAAGTTATCACTCGAGACTTATAGGAAAAATGCCCACAACCAAGTGGTTAAAAAAAGATTTACAGAATTGGCTAAATTCAAAGAATATTAAGTTCCATCCCAGTTCTGTGAGAAAAGAACTGTATCATTTGTGTTCCCTTCATAAAGAGAAATTCAAAAAATATGAAATTGATGAAATTGCAAAAAATCGTGGGATGACGGTGGTTGGATCACCACTATATCATTGTGAAGTAAACCCGATTGAACTGATATGGGCACAGATAAAGGGAGAAAAGTTCCAAGAAAAAATAATTCTTTTAAAATGAGTGATGTTAAACAGTTGTTTTTGGAGGCTGTAAATAATGTGAAGCCTGAAAACTGGGAAAAGGCAGTAAATCATACGGTTAAAGAAGAATAGAAAATGTGGAAGTTGGACAATATTACTGATGAAATGATCAAGCCACTCATTGTAAATATTGGTTGCGACAGTTCATCTTCTGATTTCGATTCTGATTTGGATTTGTAGGTAAGAATTAGTTTTTATATTAAAATTATTATTTATGAACGTAAATTTGTTTAAAAGTAAAAGTTTTAACCCTTATACCTACATAACCCGTTTGACACAATGTTCTTAACATACCTTGTGGAAAAATAAAACATTTTAGAAAAAATTGCACTTTTTTACCTTCAGCTGGTTAGAAGTTATAAGCAGGTTAATTAGGTGAAAATATAAGTGTATACTCGAGGAATAACTTCAAAAAATATTTTAACTGTCTACTAAAAGAAGTAGTACGCCTATGGATTACGAACGCTTTATAATTTTTAATACTCTCTCATACATAAAAATAGACTATAGTTACAAAGATCAGGAAAAACTCAAAAAACTAATTATTTCCAAAATATTATAGTGAAAGTTTACATGAAATTTACATTTAAACGTCTTTGCCACTTTAATTTTATATAAAACTCACAGATATATCTTTTTCAAAGATTATACAACACAAGTCTGCAGAATGTTATGCTTTCTTAAACAATTAAATTCGGGTTGTTGACTATGTAGGTAATTCTGAGTAATTCAGATAACTATTTCATATAACATCAAATCAAGTTGATTGTATATTGAAGTACGTAAAAGATTTGAGTTATGCAATCTGTGAGATACAAACATTTCCTAAGGCTATTCCATAAGTAATCAATTAATAAATAATGCATTTTCTTGTAATTGAATGTTATTAATTAATTGAAAATCTATAAAAAGACACTTTTAAGCCTAATAGGTTATAAAAATTATTGATAAATTATAAAACTATTCTAAAGTTGAATACAGTATTTCCATACATTGAAATTAAATACAGGGTGTTCAATTTAATATTACGAAACACCTTGTAAAATAATATCAATTATCTTTATTGCCTTTAACTTTTACAAGTATCGAAAATGTAACATTATTTATATAACGAAATATTTCAATCAGTTGAAACAATAAAAGTTTTAAAAAAAGGTATAAAACTAATTAAAACTGTGCTAATCAAAATAGCGTGTTAAATTTTACTTGTAGGTACAAATAGAAATAAAAATAACCATGTTTTTAAATGAAAATAAATTCCAAAATATACGAGTGCAGTTGGATCGCGAAAACGGGTTCTTTTGTAGTTTCCAACACATTTACAGTTTATTGGTGATGGTATTGTAGTATGTATTATTTTTATTCTCATATATTTAAAATTTTTCGTGTTGTGTGTGTGATCTATATAAAATATCATCAAAAATAATTATCAAAACAGCTGTTTTTATCACTACAACAAAATATCAACAATGAATAAGAAATAAAATTTTATTCAAAAGCATTTCTCACAAAATTAATATTAAGAATATAATATTTAGCCGTGCTGATAAAGATAATTGCTTAATTATTGTGCATAAAAATTACTACATTGAGAAAACCTAGAACTTCCTTCATAACTTTAAGATTTTACATAGAAACTCACTTAATATATAATTTAAAAAAGCTACTTAATAATCACTTTATTTGAATATAATACAATCAATTATAAAAATTTCATTATACCTAACTCTAATGTATTTAGGCTTTATGGACTTCCTAAAATTCACAATTCAGATATATATAAAGGACACCCAGAATTATTTAACCCTACTTGCTGAATATGGTTTCCTATCGGCTATAAATACTGTTACTAGACTAGATTCCGGATCCTGCGTCTCTAGCGATTCAATACTCTTTATTCCCACGACTAAAACTGATGTAAAACATATAATAAAAGGTTTAAAAAAGAAGAAAGCTCCAGGATTGGATAATATAACTGCGGAGACATTGCAACTCATTTCAGACTTTATAGCTGCCCCACTCACAAATATTATCAATACAAGCCTCTCTACAGGCGTCTTTCCTCAACTTTTTAAGCAGTCACCACCTTCCAAAAAACACAAACTGCCATATATATATCAAATTATTATAGGATCATAAAAAATAATTCAGTTTTAGGGATTATTAGATGCATATTACACCATTCATTTAATATAGAAGTATTAATTTTCATGTTAGTTATTTGGCAATATTTTTGTATTTTATGTATTTTAATTCTATTTTCTGTATTTTATGTATTATTTTCATTCTATTTTGTGTATACTTTTTCACTTTAATTTACATGTTAGATGTAAATAAACAAGAGCTACGTTCGGTGCGCAATCTTTTAAGGTTTATATAGGTTCTCCTCATTTTTTTTTAATTCACAAGTTTTTAGGTCAATACAAATTGTCTAGGTAAAAATAAACATTATTATAAATTAATAATTTAGCTAATTTTCCCGGACTAACAGTGGCACACGAACAAATCCAATACGGTACGATATAACATAACAAGTCTTGTGGTAGTTCTGTTTTCTTACATAATTCTTTAACGTCACACTGTAACAGATAAACTAGTTACAACTTTCTTCTTCGCATTTTTTCCACTTTATTATGAGATACACCTACTTGTGCGTACATATCTTGTTACCTTGATACAAATTACCTACTTTGCTTATAGATAAATTATTACCTGAGCTGAGAGTTACCTACATACTGCTATTGGTAAGATAAATCTGAGAGCTGTTGTTAATACAGTTACAATCGGTACGGTGTATTTATTTGAAAGGAACAATGACAAGGATAATTATATATTGTACGTTTTTATGACCTGGTTTGATTTTTTTGTGACTTGATAATTTAGTAAAGACAGACAAATTATATTACTATTAGAATCCCAAATATAGCACATATCAATTAATAATAATAATAATAAATGTCTTTTTTAACCAACAAAAAAAAAGACAAGTAAAATGAAATATTCATTATGGTATGGACCCAAGAAAATAATAAAAAGGCACATATACCATAACGAAGATGGCTTTCCATTAATGATAAATATAACAGCCGCATGTATTCAAAAGGTAATATGTCTTTTAATATGTTACATTGATACAAAATACATCGCAGTTTATTTACAATGTGTTCTATATGTAGGTTCCACTTTAGTTGAGAGTCGATAATAATTCCTAAATATTTAAATTGTTTTACAGGAGCAATAAAAAAAGATTCATGCTCACTGTCCACATTAATATTAAAATTAGGTAAATCATATGTTATGCAGCTAAAGGGTAAGTAGTGGGTTTTTAGCTGATTTACAGTCAGTAATTTAAAATCGCCTTTTGGTTCAGGTTATACCAATTGTCAGAAGAAAATGGCAGTATCATCTGCAAAACCAATTATTTTCCCATTGCATTTTAAAGAAAAAAGATCATTAACGTATAAATTAAATAACGTTGGTCCTAACAGAGACCCCTGTGTTACTCCATATTCCAAGACCCTTCCACTGCTGAGTACATTATCGACTTTTACAACCTGAGTCCTATTACTTAAATAATCACTGTCTTAAAACTAATGGAGAAAACTTTTTTTTATACAGAAACGTTTAAAATCTGTTTGTTGAGAATAGTTCAAGATATTTACTGGTTTTTAAAATGGCGAGCTGATCAAATCAAATCGAATTGTTTCACTACTATCTTTTAATAATCGCTGTCTAAAAACTAATAATTATAAAAATTTCATACTTGCAATAATTGTGTTGACATCATCTTGAATTTGCAACATATTTGCTTTTATTGAATCCATTTTCTTGTTAACAATACGTCAATTTATAATTCATTAAAACAAAAATGTTAAACTTATCTAAAATTGTTTTATTTTTGTGCAATAACATCTCTTTTTGAGGTGTTAATTATTGTAATAGGTATAGATAGGTAATAGTATATTACACACCGAGGTGGGAAGAGTTTCATTGCTAGCGTCGAGGTTAGCTATGATCTCGAGACAGGAATGAAACTTCCTACCGAGGTTTGTATACTATTTTATTTACAACCATCATATTTCGATCAAAGTTAATAAATCTCTGTTTCTTTCTGAACATACCTAAATTATTACATTTAACGACAAATTACCAAGCGCGCGGTTTTCTCAGAATAATCAAGTAAATATAGTGTTACTATGATTACGGGGTAAACAACTGTCACCAATATAAATAAATGTCAGATAAAGCCGGATATTAAATTCGCGAATAATAAATATCAATAAGTAGTTTGTTGTATTTTAGTTCATTGTTGTTTTTTATTGTTTGCCATTAAATAGGTATTAAAAATATTCATCTAGAATAGATGAAATGAGGGCGGGAAGTAGAGGTGTGTAATGTGAGACTTCCCAACCTTCAATGACGTTAGTAATGACAACATTACATATACGGTTGTAAATAAAATTGTTTCCTACATTTCAGTCTTATTTATTTAGATAAAAGTCTAATAAACTATAAAAAAATACCCACTTAAGTAGATATTATTCTTAAGTATTGACATTTATATGTTTTACTTTAAACAATAAGAGAGATATTTTTATTTTAGAAACACAAAAATTAAACAAAATGTTTTTGCTTATAATGAGAATTTTGTAAAGTTTTGCCACGCGGTTCCATGGTGTAATGGTGAGCACTCTGGACTTTGAATCCAGCGATCCGAGTTCGAGTCTCGGTGGGACCTTCTTTTTTTATTTATTTTTTAAATCAATTAAAAAATAAATTTTAATTCAATAGAAGTGAAATATAGGGTGTTTTTTAAACATGCGGCAATGGGCTGTTCCTTGGACTATTCTAAGAATATTTTGTCCTTTGATGATTTTTGAAAATCCGTTTTGTTAAGTGGAAAAAATAACCGTTTTTAGTAATTGGAATGTTGTTAAAAAATAATAAAAAAAGCGAAATTTTAAAAAAGTTGTATGTTCTTGGTTAACACAGTGTAGTACCTATTTTTATTTAGACTATTAATAATTTAAAAAAGGGTGTCTAATTTGCGGATTGGAATTTAACCGCTGCCAGGTACTAAACGAGTTATATATTTCTAACATGTAATATACATACCAATTGGGATCTAAAATTAAGATCGCAGCGCCGTCTGTACTTAACATTTAAACTAATTGTTATGGCTTGTTATTGTTTACATTTTTGAGTTTGTAAACAAACAACCCATAAAAAGTATTTAGTTTATATTTTATTTAAGGAAAACACGAGGGAAAACATATTGTTGTTGTTAATTTTTAGTGATTAGATACTTTTATTTCAATAGTTTTTAGGTTAAAGTAGAATATATATTTTTATTTGGTAAGTAACCCCCTATTAATTTTGTTTTTAAATTACATTCATTCATTTATGTTAATTTAAGATATATTTGTGTTATCTTTTAATAAAATATTAATATATTTATTTTATTTTTAGTGAGATGTCTGAAGTTTAATAGAACTTATGAAGTATATTGATGCAGGTGAAAATTCCAGGACTGTTATTAAAGAAGATGCTATTTTAAATGCGGACCACATAGTTTTTATGTGGAAAGAATGAATTTAGTGATAAACACGTTTTTGCAGTTGTTCTCCAAACTAGTGCATTGAATTCAGGTCCCCATATTGTTGTAGGCCAGTACAAGATGTTTGAAATTAGTGAATGGCAGTGTTTGTTTTAAGCTGGGAACAGTGGACAGTGCAAACATATTTCAGGAGTCTTAATAAAGTGTTCTAGGTGTATACTGTTTCAAATAATAAAAGAACTATCAAGCTAATTCGATCGAATACCTTTTGATTTTGTTCTACACCCACATGTATATTATGTATTTTACGCACTGATTAAAGAACGAAAAAGTAGGCCATTGAACGAATATATTTATCCATTCTATGAACACTCTACAGATATGAAATCCACCAATATTTGGTCACCAGGATACCATTATCTTTTTAAATTTTAAATGAGTAACAATTCTGTCAAACTAATTTTCAGCATAGTTTTTAGTTATTGAGATTAAATATAAATTACAAATGATTATTGTGAAGAATCGATAAATAATGGCACTACACAAGATATTCTTTTATATTTTCAAATAAATCTAAAATCAGTTTATGATTATTACAAAAACTATGTGTCTTTGGTACAGAAGCAGAATATTTATGGCTTCACTTTTATGTTTGCATAAACTATTTGATAATCAAATTATTATTTCAATGTTCCATAATTTTATTTAACAAGATGTTTTAAAACATAGAATAATTATTCTTTTAAAATCATCTATTAACACAAGTAGGTACTATTTTGTTTGTTTGTTAGTTTTGATGTAAAATTTACTTAGTCATAATTTTAATTTGTAGTTTGTATTAGTTTTTACTCTCAATACTTTAATAATATATTATTTAATCCATGTTACTTATTATCTTACAAACAATTGTATGACACTTCGCAAGTGTTCTTATTCTTACCTTTTTAACACACTGATGTTTGTAATGTTTGGATATTGTGTGAATAATTATATTAATAACATAAGTAATTCATGTGATCTCTTCTTTAATACAATAAATGAAAATGTACAGCTTGAAATTTATGATTGATTTTGTACAAGAGAGAATACTCTTTTTATTAATTATTTTTATTCTCAAGTTTACTAGTCATCGTGTACAGTTACATTTTCTAATGAGTGATTGTACATTGATAATGTATTTTTGTACATTTTTACTTTCCTATCTGTATACAGATATAAGGAAAGTATAGGAATCATGATTTTTTTCGACCTCGAGTTTTCGACGGATTTTTACGTTTTGAGGTCCCCTGAATCCGTTTTGACTATTTTCGCGATGATGTCTGTGTGTGTGTGTGTCTGTGTGTGTGTGTGTCTGTGTGTGTGTGTGTCTGTATAACGCATAACTCATGAACCGATACACAGAAAAACACCAAATTTAAAACTTAAGCTTTGTTTCAGCGTCCAATGAGCTGATTAGATTTTGGGCAGTGTCGGAACATCTGGGGGGGTACTTTATAGGTGGTCATTTTTATATTTTATGGAATATATCTGTTATTTACGTTTGGAGAAGAAAATTCTTCAAATAAAAGTTACTTCTAATATAATTATCTATAATTTTTGTTTTATGCAAAATTTTCCTAAAATGGTCCGTATTCGAGAAATTTGACAAAATGTAAAAAACATAATTTTTTATAAAAATTGTTCAAATAAAAGTTGTTTGTAATATAATTCTCTATAATTTTTGTCCTATACATAATTTCTCTAAAATGGATCGTATTCGAGATATTTGAGAAAATGTGTAAATTTCGAAATTTGAAGAAAACTCAAAAACGGATAAAGGAAAAAACATTAAATTTTAAACTTAAGGTTTATTTCGGCCTGACGTGAAATGATTAGATTTTGGACAAAGTCGGAACATCTGGGGGGGTACTTTATGGGAGGCCGTTTTTATATTTTATGGAATATATCTGTTATTTATGTTTGGAGAAGAAAATTGTTCAAATAAAAGTTACTTCTAATATTATTATCTATAATTTTTGTTTTATGTCAAAATTTCCTGAAATGGTCCGTATTCGAGAAATTTGACAAAATGTGCAAAATTCTGATTTTTATGAAAATTGTTGAACTAAAAGTTGTTTGCGATATCGATTTCTATAATTTTTGTTTATACATGATTTTTCTAAAATGGACCGTAATGGAAAAGTGCTAAATTTAAATTTTTCTGTATTTTCGTTTTCAATGAAAATCTATAGAAAAATGTTTCGAGGTAGATGTATGTGTAAAATGTATATATTTAGTTTATCCTCTAAACATTTATAGAGATGCTGCAATAGGTTGTACAAAATAACCGGAAAATGCCTATAATAACTAGATAGGAAAGTCATGTGTTGGACACATCAGATTTTTATATTATTCTGTAATGGAATAGTTCGACACATGCAACGAAGACTATAGTAACTCATTATTTCCAGTTTTGAGAAAATCTAAGATATAGTATGGTAAAAATCCTGGTGTTTTATTCATAACTTGAAGAATAAATCTTACATCTTAGTCATGGATATGAATGTAAAATCTTTAAAATTAATTTTGTGTTCTTCGATTTAAAATAAACGTTAAATCCCATAATATAATGTAAATAATTACCAGACTAAGTGCATTTTTGTTGCTCAAGGTTTTTTTTATTAACATTTAAAGAAAAACACATGAAATATTGCCCCTCTGTCTTCTGTATTGAGTAGAAGTAAATAACAATGTTCGGATAAAAGTGTTTTGTAGAAAACAATAACAAAATGCTAAAAATTTACTCTTAAGTATGTAAAGAGTTTCTTAAGAAAAACAACTATAGTGCATTTTGGTGTACCAACGTAAATGGACTTTTTACAAAGTTTAGCTTATATACCTAATAAGTAGGTAGAGGGAAATATATATTTATATAAATATGTGTTGCTGTTTATTATTTTTTTTTAATATATACTCATTTCATTTCAAAATAAGTTATTAAAATAAATATTAGCCTTTTTACCCCTAAGGACTACCGCAGTACATTGGTGATAGCAATCTAAATTAGTTAAATACTAGTGAAAGGGCTAGATAGAGTAGCATCTGTTACTACAGTGTTTATTTCTATTTAGAGACCTCTAATTTTAATATAATTATTTATATTACGCTTTAAAAATTTATTAAAGTTTAACTTACACATTTTACTTTGCTCTTTAAATATTCCAAGTTTTTGTATGGAAATAGTTAACTAAAAAAATAGAACTTAATACCATTGAAAAGCTAATGATTTATTCAATTGGATTGCAGTGTTTGTTAAGTGTAAAAATCATTATTTTGTAGTCAAAAGTGCAGTTTAGTCAACAGGTTTTAAATATAAACTAGTTTTTATCTTTTTTGTGCCAAGAAAAATTAAGCTGATAAACATGGTACTCAGCATTTTATGGTAGTGACTATTGCTCCTACTTCAAGTATCTGTTTAAATGGAATGTGTAACATGCAAGACTAAAAATGGTGATACTGTTTTGACGTACGACAGTTGTCAAAGTTCATCACACAGAGAATGTACACCATTAAATGCAAATGAGGTAAAGTTAATGGACTTAAAAGGGAAACGATTGCTAAAGTTCTACTGTGAGGACTGTCAGTCTGGAATAAAATTAAAACGTGCATTTGAGACCATTATTAAGGGTATTTTACTTAAGAAAATTCAACAATATGGTGTAGGTAAAAAAGTATACCAGTAGCTGAATAATTATCTGCAAGGTCGTAGACTAAAAGTACATTTTAACAATCATATATCACCTGAGATTAAAATTGACACATGAGTTCCGCAAGGAAGTGTCCGCTGCTTTTTATACTATATTTGAATGATATTGGACTGTTTGTTGATTGTGAATTCATTAATCTCTTTGCTGATGACACTCTGCTAGCATGCTCTGATATAAATTTAATTTTTTTGTATATTAGGTTTATCCTACTTCAATAAATATCTATCTATCTAACTAATTGAATCTTACCAATTATAAACCGTTTTTTTTTTCTTTTACAGGGATGTACCCCCGCCTACCTCTACTGACAATATGTCTGGCCATCATAAACTTTTGCACGTGCGCCAACATCCTCATGATCACCATGGGCGGTACCAAATCGCACAAGATCCCGTTCTGGGAACTAGCCAAAGGTCTCATTCCCAGAGGTCACAACGTCACGTTCATCAGCGCCTTTTTGCCTGACTTCCACGTAACTGGACTGGAAGAAATCACACCTGTAGGTCTGGTGTTTTACGTCAGAAACTTCACCAACTGGGATTTGGTAGGAGCTAGAATGAAGGGGGAGGAACCCGTTTCTCCGCTGAATATGGTTAGGTATGCAACCGAGGTAGGTATTTATTAAACATTTTATAAGTTTGAGGTTTACCAGGGTAAAAATGAGGTGGCTGAAGAGAAGTTTCAGGGATTTGGATTAGGGGAGAGGGTGGTTTTGACTGAGAATTATTGGAACACGAACAGAATTGTATACTTTGTTAATTACTTCTGGAAAAACTGAAAACGGAAAAAACGCAGGTATGTGGAACTGTTTAACGGGATAGATTAGGACTACCATCCAATATAACTGAAGACAAAAGTGTGAAGCGGGGCGATGTTGACTATAGGGTGTCCAGTATGGATTTGTCATATTTTATGTGGTGTGATAATCGAATGGTGCATTTTCTCTCTAACCTACACGGTACAGAAATGAGTAAAGTTAAACGCCTTCAAAAAGACGGTACCGCAAAAGATGTAGATTGTCCTTAGATAGTCAATGATTATAATGTCCATATGGGGGGCGTAGATCTTGCGGATCGACTTCGACAGGCTTACTGTATAGATATACGCTCAAGGAAATGGTGGCACCGTTTATTTTTTGGAATACTTCATATAGCATTCGTGAATAGCTATGTGCTTTATAAAAAAAGTTCACCCAGAGGGTTGCTCAAGGGCTAATGAACTACAGCAACTACTCTGCAATACAAAAGGAATTTTCAAGCAACCGCAATACCAATAGCCCTAGAAATAACCCTCGAAATACTCATTTTGGAACTTCAACAAGCATTGTACCAAAACGTAGAAAATACAACTAAAGCGTGTCAAACGATGTTAGATTGGGAAATCAAGGAGCCCACTGGCCAGTTTTCACTTCCAAAAGAGGACGATGCGAGCAATGTTCGTCAATTACAGTATAATCTAGACCACATTCGCAGTGTTTAAATTGTAAGGTATATTTGTGCCTTAACGAAAAAAATAAAAAAATTGTTTAACATATATCATGAGATTGTTCAATAGATATTTTTTTTACAATTTACAATATGCCTTTTTTTACTACATAGAGCGTTGAAGACCTATATTATTGAGAAAGACGTTTGATTTAAAAGTTTTAAAAATGTAGTCAATTCTGTTAGAATTAATTTAACCCCCTAATCACCCCAAACGACTATTTACAGATCTCCATTCACATATCTAATCTAAATCTATTTCCAGGCTTGCGACGTCTTGTTGTCCGACCCAGAAACTCAAGATTTCCTGGACCAAAGACGTAAATTCGACTTACTAATCCTGGACGGAGCGTATCCTGAGTGCGCTCTCGGCTTCGCACATCATTTCAACGCTCCTTTCATGTATATCAACACTGTCGGATTCTACACGGGATCATTATCCCTTGCAGGAAATCCCGTGCCGTATGCTGTAACTCCGTTTTTGTCTCTGGCGTATACGGACAACATGAATTTGTACCAAAGAACGGCCAATACGTTAATGAATTTGGCTGCGAACTCGTTGCATTCCGTTATGGTGAGTTTTAGTGTAAATTTTAAACGTTTTTAGGGATTCGTGTCCAAAGGGTAATCAACGGGACTTTATTACTATAGTCTATTTTTATGTATGAGAGAGTAATAAAACAGCATTTCTAATGCAAAACTTAGTACGTTCATTTTAAATATTTTTACAGAATAATCTAAATATTTCCTAAAATTGTAATAAATGTACCTGAGCTATTACAAGCCAGACCAAAAGCCCTTTGTATTAAAGATTACATAGCCGTATCTTAAGATTATTTTCAATAAGTACCTATTTGCCAATTTTGTTTTATTTTAATTCCAAGAATTTCTTACAGTAATCGAATTATAAGTAGATAAATACCTTCCCATTATATTTCACCGAAAATGCGATTATAGGTTTTCCGTTTAGTAAGGAGGTCCAAGTTGTATATTCTTGACAGTTTACTAAATGTCGTTTAGTTGCAACTTGCAAGGAGCAGTGTGAATTCTAGTGTGATCATGGAAAATTTGGAAGGGCCGCGTAAACGAAAAAAAATCGGTCCTTTAACAGTTAATGAAAAAACATTAATATTTAGTTGTTTTAAATCATTTACAGACAAACATTTATGTAAAAGTGTTGATGACACAGTGGAATTAGTTAGTAGTACGCTTGGTGTTGGGAAATCTACGATTTACAGAGTTGTTAAAGAAGAGAAATGTGGCGAGTTTCAAACAGCACGTAAAGCTCCAGGAAAACCAAAATTTCAATTAGAAAATCTTTTGAAAGAAAGACTTCGAAGGAAAGTGCATGCGTTCTTCTTTAGAAAAGAATTTCCGACAGTAGACAAAGTTCTTGCCACGGTTTGGGATGATAAGGATTACCCTGAAATGAGTCGAAGTACACTATGGAAACTTTTAAAAGAAATAGGTTTTATATGGAAAAAGCATTCCAGAAAGTCTATTTTAATAGAAAGAAGCGATATTGTAGTATGGAGAAGAAATTACCTAAGGACTATAAAAGAAATGAGAAACCAAAGAAGAAATATATTTTATTCAGATGAAACATGGATCAACGAGGGACATAAACCAAATAAATGTTGGCAAGATGAAACTGTTACAAGTCGAAGACAGGCTTTTTTAAATAATTTATCTTCTGATTTAAATCCACTATCAGGAAAGGGGCGCAGACTAATAATAGTACACATCGGTAGTTCAAACGGTTTTGTTAAAGGTGGTTTATTGACTTTTGAATCTACTCGTACCGGTGACTACCATGAGGGCATGAATGCTGATGTCTTTAAAGAGTGGTTCGAACAAATTATAGATCTTCTTCCTCAGAACTGTATAATAGTAATGGATAATGCAAGTTATCACTCGAGACTTATAGAAAAAATGCCCACAACCAAGTGGTTAAAAAAAGATTTACAGAATTGGCTAAATTCAAAGAATATTAAGTTCCATCCCTGTTCTGTGAGGAACGAACTGTATCATTTGTGTTCCCTTCATAAAGAGAAATTTAAAAAATATGAAATTGATGAAATTGCAAAAAATCGTGGGATGACGGTGGTTAGATCACCACCATATCATTGCGAAGTAAAGCCGATTGAACTGATATGGGCACAGATAAAGGGAGAAGTTTCAAGAAAAAATAATTATTTTAAAATGAGTGATGTTAAACAGTTGTTTTTGGAGGCTGTAAATAATGTGAAGCCTGAAAACTGGGAAAAGGCAGTAAATCATACGATTGAAGAAGAAGAGAAAATGTAAAAGCTGGACAATATTATTGATAAAATGATCGAGCCACTCATTGTAAATATTGGTTGTGACAGTTCATCTTCTGATTTCGATTCTGATTTGGATTTGTAGGTAAGAAGTAGTTTTTATATTAAAATTATTATGTATGAACGTAACGTTGTTTAAAATTCAAAGTTTAAACCCTTATACCTACATAACCCGTTTGACACAATGTTCTTAACATACCTTGTGGAAAAATAAAACATTTTAGAAAAAATGCACTTTTTTACCTTCAGCTGTTTAGAAGTTATAGGCAGGTTAATTAGGTGAAAATATAAGTGTATATTCGAGGAATAACTTCAAAAAATATTTTAACTGTCTACTAAAAGAAGTGGTACGCCTATGGATTACGAACGCTTAATCATTTTAATACTCTCTCATACATAAAAATAGAGTATAAGCCTCCGCTGTCTCTGTCTGTATCTTATGATCCGTAATGTGTAGACTTGAAATTTTCAGAGAATGTGTATTTTTGTTAAAGCTATAACAAAAATAATAATAAATTAGAAATTAAAAGGGACTCCCCTTCTATAAACGTGTTTTTATGGCTTTTTTGCATCTTAAAGTATTTAAAAAGTACCTACATAATATAAAATATTGTACGATCGTGCCAAACCTTTCATGCGCGAGTCTGACTTGCACTTGGTCGGTTTTTGTTGATATAATGTATCTAAAAATATAAAAATACATGTTGCGCTATCTGTTATTGTTTCCTAGAACTATTTTTTCTGGCTCTATGTCGCGTATTATAGTTTTTACTCATGTTCTTATAATCGCTGGAATATTGTCGGTTTAACGATGTGAATCAGGCGACACAACAATTGGTAATGAGTAATATAGGCAGGCAGCGATAGAGAGTGACGTAAAATTTTAAATATGAACATTTGGGTCAGAGGCGTAACATAGGTATACTATATGGTTATCTTTATTTACACTAACAAGGATATAAAGCATAATATTGAAATATTAACGGGAAACAACTTAAATGGGTTATAGATGAATTAAAATACGTATTTTAATTAAAAAATACAATAGAGATTTGTTAAATATTAAAACAAAATTTTGTAAAACTCGAACACTTGTTACATTTTGTAAATGGGACTAAGGGTAGTCCTGAACTATTATTATGTATTAAATGGTTAAAGTTTTACTGCATCCACTCCTTAATCTGATTCTAATCAACAAAAAAAACAGGCTTTGCAAAACAGGCTTTGCAAAACAGCAACTCCATAGGATAACTGCTAGGTAACATTCAATCACTTTGAAATTGAAACAATTTACGCAAAAAAAAAACAAAATTTATTTTTGATTTTCACTTGTATAATTTTACAATTCCAGAATGGCGAAATATCCTATAGAATTAGAAATGTCTAACGTAACCTGAAAACGGAGAGAAATTTATTTTCATCAGTCATTAATAATTATTATAATAAAACATTAATAATTAATCGTTATACAAAATAACATATATTAAAATAATTTGATTGACATTTTTTTAGGTAAAATGGGTACTTCAAGACATGTTAAGGAAACATTTTGGGGATGACATACCACACATTTATGAAATGTCGAAAAACGTGAGCTTCATTTTACAGAATGGTTATCCTTCGATGACCTATCCCAGACCTTACCTACCCAACGTTGCAGAAATTGCTTGCATCCATTGCAGGAAAGCCAAACCACTACCAGAGGTAAGATTTCAAAGAAAAAAAAAATACCGTAAAATATACTACTATGGGAGACATCCATTTCTCTAGTATCCATAACTTCCCCTTTCATTTATGTATTACTAGTTATTTGAAGTATTATACAATTTAGAATAAATGGTTTATATCTTTCATGTTTACAAAGATGTCTCAATTCTCACAAAATATTTTATGATTTTTCTTGGTATATGCTTTACTTTAAACGTTTGAAGGACCAGGTACAGCAGGATCATCAGCGATTTTATTATCCTGATTACCCTGTATAACTTTTTCTTAATTAATTTTAGGTTTTTTAATAATACTCTTGCAATAGGTGCCTTTGTTTGTTTTCAATCTTTGATTATTTCTATCTTTTTGAATTTGGGCAAACTTTTATTAGTTATTTTTGTACGAACATAAGCAATTTCTTGCATTCTGGTATTTCTGCATGATATTTGATATATTTAGTCCCAAAAAAGGTTGAAAGTGAAAAATTTAAATGATATGTACTATTTAGATAGAATTTTTCTGTTATTGTGGAATTTATGATGGATTTTGTGCACCAGTGTCAACTAATATTTTTAGTTTGATTTCGAAATTTCAATATACGGTTATTAGAAGTTATATTTAATTCTACTAACTCTGGGTTTTCTTCAGGAATAAAACAATTAATACATTTTCAAATGCATGATTATCATTTAGTTCAAACGGTAAAAATGAATTATCATAATGATTTTGACGGTAATCGTTTACAAATAGTTCATTAGATATAAAATTAGTCCTTTATTATTAAAAAAAAACATTATTAGACCTATTATTTGGATCAAAATTTCTTTTACTACACATTGATGGAATTTTCAAAGAGGTTGACATTGGTTGGAATTTTGGAAATTGATTTTGTGGAATCCAATTAAGTTTTAACCACATACTTTGGTTTTAACACATTTCGTGCGATAGTTGGATAATTATTAAGATGCTGAGGGATTGACAGTTATTGGTTGACATTGAATTGCATTTGAATTTTTATTTTATTTTCAGGACCTCGAAGACTTCATCAGAGATTCAGGAGATGCCGGTTTTATCTACTTCAGTATGGGCTCCTCAGTAAAAGCTGTCAACATGCCTGTATACCTGAGACAATTATTGATGATTGTATTCAAAAGTTTACCTCAACGCGTATTATGGAAATATGAATCCGAAGATGATATGCCCGATTTACCTAGCAACGTCAAATTGGGAAGATGGTTGCCTCAACAGGATATTCTAGGTAAGGACATAGTAGTTATGATATGGAGAGGTGGAATATTTGAAAATTAATATATTAATAAATACCGAAAAAAAAAAATAAGTTTCTAACCCTCTTTTCCTTTTTCTCTTTTTTCCTATTTCTTTCTTACTTTATGACTTATATTCTTTCTTATCTTTTTTCTTACCTTCTTTCCTATCTTACCTTCTTTCGTGTCTTCGTTCCTAGCTGCTTTCTTCTCTTTTTTTCTTATCTTTTTTCTATCTTCTCTTCTGTTAGCTCTGCTTCTCTCTATCCTCTTTACTGATTAATTACTGGCTTATTCTGGATTCTGTTTTTCTTCTAGCCTTTACTGCCTACTTGCCCTCTTCCTTTCTGTATGTATACTGTTTTATTATATTCTGTTTGACTCTGCTCACTTTTAAAATATATTTACCTTTATTGCTTTTTGTCAAAATATATTAAATTGTATGACCTTTCAGGGCATCCAAAGCTGCGTGCTTTTGTAACACACGGTGGTCTCCTCAGCATGTTCGAGACTGTTTATCATGGAGTACCAATAGTAACCCTTCCAGTCTTCTGCGACCACGATTCCAATGCAGCCAAAGCTGAGCTGGATGGATACGCATTAAAATTGGATTTCGAGACTTTATCAGCGGAAAAATTAGTGTGGGGTATCAAGAAAATAATTCACGATCCGAAATATAGAAGAGAAGTGAAGAACCGCCAGTATCTACTGATGGATCAGAAAGAAACTCCTCTGCAAAGGGCTGTCTATTGGACAGAGTATGTTATAAGGCATAGAGGAGCTCAACACCTACATTCGCCTGCTAGACATCTTGGGGTAATCCAGTATTATCTCATAGATGTCGCTGTAGTTATTTTAAGCAGTTTGATTCTGTTTTGGTATCTTTTCAAGTGGACTTTGAAAATATTTGTGAAAAATTTTGTGAGCACTGAAGTGATTGACAAGAAGAATATAAAAATAGACTGATACAGGTTTGATGTAAATAAATGTGTGTGTGAGAAAATGATGTTTTTAATTTTTACCAATGTTCCTATTCTTCCTATTCAGTAAGTTTTTAAGTTCTAGCTTAGGGGTTCTTAAACTATGCATGGACCATTAAAAATAGAATTCTAATTTCATAAAAGCCATCAAAGCTGTGTTATTCAAATTTGACATTTTATTTGATATAAAACGAATGAGCATAGTCCTGATGTAATTAACTGACTACCTACTTCAAAAATAGTTAATATCCCAGTATAATTATCGGTTCTTAATGTTTATCTTAAGAAAAATATTGAGTAAAAGATATTTAAATAGCCCGTACTTTATCAACCAAATTATTATCATTCTTTTACTCTTAATGGTAAAATTAATTATTAAAGATTGCCGCATTACCTTCAATGTCATTTACTGTAGAGACAGAACCGTCTCCATGATTATTTGTCAACAGAATTATCATTTCCTACTTTTATAATATGAGGTCCAACCCTACCGCTAATACTTAAAAAATTAACCAATAATATGTCATAATGAAGATTCAAATAGACGACGTTTTTAAAATCTGACAAATCTTTACGGATGATCCGGTATTTGCTATAAATTCCAGCTGTAATTTGATATACTACCGAATTCCCTTTGTATCTACCGTGTTCTATTATTTCTGGTTTATTCCACTGTGTTGTTGATGTTTCATATTCTGTTTTTCGAGAGTAAAATGGCGCTAAATTATTAAAAGTTTCGTGTATACAGAGAATATGTGAATAAGTATTCTACGAAATTTGGATAGGAATAATTTACTCATATTCATATCGAATGATATGTAGGTTTTTGGTTATTTAAAAAAATGAAAATATGGAGTGCAATGGGATGAACATAATTTTACTTAAGGACAGCGTCTCCTAGGAATTTCTGAACAAAATTATGTCAATTTAGATTCAATCAAGGAGGTGCTGTTACCTACCGACTAGAGATTGAATTAGTGCAAATTATTACAGAAATCTTTAAGTAACTATAAATATCGACCAACTAGCTATTAGGGGATATTATATTATATTGTATTATAAACCGGTTTTTAGTAGACTGAGTTCGAAGGATCATAATAATAGTCCTGAACATAAAATCTATTTTTCAATAATTGCCGGGATTTTACCAAATAAAAAAAATTATTTCGTGATTGTGAAAACGGTCCAATCGTTTTATATGCCATTTATAATATTATAAAAATGTTAACTCTAGGACTCATTTTGGAGTATGAGCATACTTTATTTCAATACTTTTATTGTACTGTTTCATAAAGTATTACCTACCTATTACATTTTATTTTTATCGAAAATTGACTTTGTTTCCTGGACCAAAGTAAAGAATGAGGTAGGTATGCAGATGGTAACAACAAAACCGATATCTTGCCTCACATTAAATATAAATATTTCCTAAAACAAATAATTTGGTTTATATACGGGTAGTAATACGAGGGATGTTTATAATTTCAAGTCACGAATATAGAGTCGTTTCAAAATATATAGCCACAATAATTGCGTCACATTGAGTCGGAGTGGGGCGCTTGACGTGTCGCAATTCGCAATATATTTTAAAACTATTCTACCTAATTAATAAATTGTGATTTTGAAGTATCGAATGAAAACTATATTCTCATTGGTTAAAGATGGAAGTTTTTGTCATTTGAATGTTCAAGAATATTAATTGTGATTAATTGGTTAAATACCGAAGTTATCTGTTATCTGATGTTGGTACTAACCTAATGTTTTTGGGTAATTTTGACTGTCATTTCCTGGAATTTCCAGGCCCGCATAAATATTTATCCTATTAAAGTACAAAAACCCTACAATAGATATTATGAGTAGGTATTTAACATTCATTTATCTTATCTTATCTTAGGTAGTTATTTCCTAGAAACATGTCCCTGATTGTCAATAACACATTACCGTATATCTGTGCCAATATGACGTCACGACTTTTAATATACTTAATGAAGGCTGGAGGAAGGAGTTAAGAGTCTATAAATGTACAAACAAGCTTACGGGTATTTAGTTTTCAAAATTACATCACACGTTTCTGAAGTGTTTTATTGTGCTGTTTGTTTTTAATAAGTGTTATTTTCTTTAATAGAAAATTGATTTATTTGTGCCAAGTGTCCTAGTGAGTTTCATTGTACATTTTAATCAGTTTTATTTTTGGATAAATTGACATCGACTTCCTGCATTAAAGGTAGGTAGTATTTTTTTTCTATCACTCTCGAGTTCGTCATTGAATAAAAAAATTAAACGCTATAATTTTAGCATTCAAATATTTGCAATTAAAAAATAATATTACGTATTAAATTTGACAATAAAAAAACTTGTTATTTAATAATAATGTTTCAATATTCTGAATATATTTTTTCTACGATCAATATCCAAAGTAGGTAAGCTTTTGCACATTAAAATCTAAATAAAAAGTTGACGTTTTCTGCGAATTGTCATAATTTGACATTATTGGCGCACATTACCTAATATTCAAACCCATTTCCATGCTTAAAAATAGAAGATGGTGACATTCATTTAAAAGAAAACCATAACTACTTTTACCAGGTGAAAAATTTCAAGATGTTAAAATAATTCATGATTTTTAAGAAATGTGCTAGAAATGATACTACAATATTAATATTCTTTTTATGTTTGATTTTCTAATAATGATTTTATATACTTTTAGATTCAAGGACAGCTAGGTATAGCTCAAAGAAAATTGTGCTACTTTGTAGTATATACTGGAGATAAAAATCCAATATTTGTTGAAAAAATTCATATTCAACCCATTTTTTTTAAATATGGTTGAAAAATGAGAAAAATTTTACTCGGAATATATGGCACCTGAGATAATTTTAAATAGAAGAGGACGAGGATTAAAATGTCTGGATACCCCATATAATGAAACGTAAAGTGCAAAGATTAGCAAATTTATAAAAATAATAATTTAATGGACTTTAATGATACAAGTTTTTTTTTCGCAGAAGCATGTTCATACGTAATTTGCAATTGGTAATCACTAATCACAGATGGAAAAGTATATACGTCAACGATATGTTCTCTTATTTTTGATTTATTTTAACAGGTATAATATATGGTATGTTACTTAAAGTATAGATTTTTTTATTTCTCGACCTAATTTATTTGTTATGTCTTCAGCAATTGTCGCTTTCAGTTGACATAAACGAAATTGATAAAAAGTGTTTTTCGCATTTTATTTTGACTGTTTCTCTTACTTTCGAATAGAAACTGAGCTTTGTAAACATAAAATGACGGATATGTCAAACTAAAACTGACGGTAAAATGAAACATTGAGTATCGTTAAATGCAACTTTTGAACTAGTTTCAAAAATAGCATTAAAATAATATCATTCACAATGTACTAATTTCCTATACTTTTAGTTGATAAATAACCGATAATCATACATCATATAACAAATAGGCGCGTGTCAAAAGGTCTCCGGCGAAAAAAGAGTGCCGATGAAAAAAGGTTGTTTCCAATTGTATCACATAAACAGTATCAGAGGCAGTATTATCATCTCGTATATCCCCCGTAAACACACATAATATAAACGGAAATAATCAAATACTAGTCAAAATATTATCGATCGGAGCACCATCTTTATTACATTACATGAAGTAATTATTGATTTTTCGGGGTTGATTTAGAGTTAAATTAGACGCCATTTTTGGTCCAAATTCGTTTTGACATGTTTTTTCAAAGAAAGTGACTTATAAATTTCAAATCTACACGTTTTGAAAAATATACAATATTTAAATATTCTGAGTGTACCAAATTCCAAGTAAAGGTTAAACTTAGGTCGTATTACATTTTTTTTATTATTATTTGTTTGACATCGAGGTTAAAATAATTCTACACGGCACCTTTGAGATGAAATAAAGGGGTTATTTTACATGATTGGTTTTTATTGAAAATAATAAATTTATTAATTTTCATTAAAAAGGTGACCTAAGTTAGACCTTTATTTTTAATTTGGCCAAAAATTAGATTTTTAAACACTACATATTCGGAAAACTGTCGATTTAACTTTTGGTCTACACATACACTTTTAGTACACAGGGATACCCCGTCCTTAACACTTTGTCAAACTATACCTTAAAACCATCGGTAAATTGCGACTATATTTAATTTTAGAGCTCTAGGTAATATCATTGTTTAAAAAGTAGAGATAGTTGGTCAGAGACATAGACCGAAAGGTTTGAATATTTTGGAGACAGCAAATAAACTATAGACTATTTTTGAGTTCCCAAGAGTATATAATGAACGCCATTTTCTATCCATGTGTCATTTCATTTAAAATTAAATTCCAAAAGAGAATGGATAAGTTACCATTTTCAGTCCACCTAAATGATTAACTTAGGAAAATCATTGTTGCCAGAGTAAAAATTATTGGAGAAATTTTATAACTAAAAAAATTACCGAAATTACTGATTATTGTATTATTATATTACTGCCGAGACTACAGAGTTTAATAAAAAATCAGATTGTCTTTTTAAATAAAAATCAATTAAAACAAACCTTAAATTATTTAAATGGCAACATTGCATCGGATCGAAGAAATATGTAGGGAAGGAAATTTTACCTGCAATTATTTTTAAGAATGCATGAAATAATAAATCTTTTTCTCTTTGTTATTAGATTAGGTAAATTTGAATCAGGCACTTGGCTGGTTGTTTTTATTATTGTTCCTATCAGCTGCTATAATTAGCCATTGAATAATTACCTAAAACCTCTATGTAGAACTTACATATTTCTATGTACCTAATTAAGATTAGATTTATTATTACCTAAATTGAATATAAATATAATATTTTATTATATAGGTAATATGAGCAGGGTAGTTTTACGAGTTTATAAATTAAACTTCGTGCGTTAATTATTATAACATTCTACCTACCTACAATTTTGGTAGGAATAGGTACTTTTTCGGGAATAAGATATTTAATCTATGCAAAAAAAATTAATTAAATTTTTAGGT